CTATCTTCAATCTATATGCCTATCTTGCTGGCTTTCTTTGCCAGGCTTATATACTAAAACAGAGGGTGTCTAAGAAATACTCGGAGATTCGCGGAGTTCCCCGATAATACCAAAAACTCCAGCACGCATGCTCCCAGTGTCACACGACTTCCGCTGTCATAACATTATTATTTATTTGTGTATACTGCCTAATTGATTAAAATACATCTTTTTTCTATATAAATACAAAATTATATTTTTATTACATTTAAGTTTGTCTTAATTGTGTTATTGAGTCTGGCAGTTTATTGGATAAGGTGTTGCTCTCAGGAGTTAGAAGACTGCAACTTTGAATCCTTGTACCATCAAAAATACTTTCTGTTTCAGCCTTAGGAGGGTAATAATTTAATGGAAAATCCCAGTAAGTGTGGCTTAAGAATAGGTAGTAGTTGCTGCTGAATGGTTGAGTTTCCTGTGTTTGTCAATCCAAAATTAAGGACAGCAGCAGATAGCCCTCATGAACTCTGTAACAAATAAAAACAAGGCTATACTGTGTACAAGCATATAAACATGCAAGTTTTGTTGTATGTAAGACCATTAGTTTAGTTATAAAATGTTTTGTGAACAAAATGTAATATTTTTCTAAAAGTATTTGATATAGCTGAAACTTTTATATTAAGCTTTAAAAAATTGATAATGGCTTTGATAATAAACAGTTAAACTCATTATAAATAATAAACAGCAGAGTAAGGTAAGAGTAAAAAATATTAAAATCAATATGACAAATTGGGAGAAAGCATTATTATCAGAGTATCATATATAATTTTGTCAATTTGGCTGTGGTATAAAACTATTTCTGTCAAAAAGAAGTTAATATATACTTTTCCACCTATTACAGTAACATATAATCATCTTCAAAAAATTTCACCAGCATCTAAAATGAAATAAAATATGTATTTGGTGATTTTAAATTAGAAGTCATGGGGTGGGGTAAAAGTTTAAATGAAATTTAAACATTTTTATATATTATCTGAATTTTATGATTTATTAAAACATATAGCATTTTCAAAAATATGCATAAAAGCAAAATTTATTATTTAGTTTCACAATGTAATAGATGAGAATGATACTATTCGCCAGAACGTAAACAATCAATTAATAAACATATTTCAACATGAAAAGTATGTAATCAGTGAAACAAACTTATGTGGAACAAATTGATACTAATAAGAAATATTATAAATGGAATTTGTGTTAAAGAGTGAACAGTTTTGAAATAATCTTTTACTGTGCTTCCATGACTTCAAAGAACAGTTTATTATATTGAAAACAAATATAGTATAAATGAGGTCAGAATTGGCTAAGAAGAGTTAAGTTAGAAGTTAATGTCCTCTTCAGTTTATTATGAAAGGAATCTTTGATTGCAGAATTCCAACATAGGACCTGATGTAACAAAAACGTGTTACTAACACAATCCTTCTTGTCTTCACCAAGTGAATAAGTGCTTTTGATATATTCCAGCATCAGACAACAATCAGAAAGTTCAGATGTTATTGGAAATCAGTGAAATAAATTAAATATTGAATAAAAGATACCCAGTAGTGTAAATCTAATTAAAAATGGTTTAATATCTATTTCATTTGTGTCGGTTTCACTTCACTTTCTTTGCTGTCAGTTTTTTCTTTTTTTTGCTTTTGCTACAAGAATTTCAATTCAAACTGCTAACAGCTTTTCATATGAATACTACATGTGTGCTGAACATTGTGTTTCTTTCGTGATATATTTCTATTATTGAAGATATAGAACTATTTTTCAATAGGTTAAGATTAAAAAGCTAATTTTTACAGCTTGAACTTAGTTCTTAATTTACTCAATCTCCATCTTTGACTGCCTTACTAAGTTATCTGGCAGTCTGGCAAATAATAATACTGAGCACCACTCACTGGTGGGTTTACAACTTTTGGCATTAGAAATGACATTGACTAAATTTAAGTAATAAAGTTAATCATTCAGCTTTTCTCAAGACAAATAGCTATCTTTAAAGTACTCATGATAGAAAAGCAGTAGTGTTGTTATAGCTGGGGCTATTGTTATATGGTATGAAAATGTTTATGTTGAATGAAGTATTACATCAAATAAGCAACAGTTTGCTTTACACACCTGCTTGATAATCCAATTACTAGATTTAATACACAGAATGAACAATGCCAAAAAGTTAGCTGCTTGTACTAAAACTCTAATTGTAGAACACCTGAGAATCACCATATTCAACCTTTTTCTTAATTAACTAAAAGTTTCTAATTTATATTCACATTCTTTGCCTTAAGCACTTTGAAGGTAGTTTTAGTTCACAGATTACTTTGAAATTGTTTTCCTTTTTTTAAGTCATTTGTCTAATTCTTAATGCTTTGCCAGCCTTTTCTAATTATTTTATTCCTCATACTCTTATTGAGCTGTTCATGTGTTTCTTTACATGTACATTGGAAAATTGTCACACCTGGATTACTTTTATTAAATCAAAGTAAATATAAATGTTTTTTCTGTTGTCAAAATGGTCCATGATAGATACTCATTATGCCTGACTCTCGCATGTTGCTCTTAGTAATTCACAATTCAAAAATAAAAGTGCATTGAATATTAAGTGTCTTATTTTGTCCTTTAAAAAATTGTGAGTTATGAGGAAATTTAATATTTGAAATTGAACTAACTGTGTATGGATAAGATAGTTTTTTGTGTACAAAGTTTGTTGAAATAGCTACAAAACAACTGCAGTTTAAGTTTTATAATCAACTGTATCGTGGAAGTGATGATATTACATTAGTGGTAATGTGTTTATTATCACTAAAGCAAAACTTGTTAGAACAGTAATATGGACAGTTCATCTTTGTTGTAGAGAAAGTATTTGATCTCCAAGCAAAAAGAAAATGTCTCCACTTTTCTTGAAATAACGTAACCTTAGTAATGAATTTGTCTGAAACAAAATCATTCTTAAAGTACTTTTTATGGATATTGGTTATTTGTATAAGTAGAACTTTGTAGTGTTGTCCATATTATAAATTTAATAAAAAATGACATCCATTTTTCATCAAAATACTCTATGACAATGTAAAAAAATCAGTAAGTAAGGTTAATTTTGGTGTCTCAATTGAAACCACATAAAAGCTTTACTTAATTGACCTGAATTAAACAGGTATTGCTTACATATATGATTCTGACTTTCTGTTACATCCTCCTCCATTTGGTAACATCATTAAATGTTCTTTTAATAAACAGAAAACGAGTAAGTATTTTCTATCACATTTCTTGATTTCTAATGAAGAACTAGAAAAATAGAATATCTGGTAAAAGAGTTTGGTGGAAGTATAAGTATTCAAGATTTTGAAAATTAGAAGAAGTACATATTGTTCTATGATATTGGCAGAAGTAGAAATTAAATTTCTTTTCCTTGTAACTTGTGTTTTACCAAAAGTTTGTGATCTAGTATCACAAAATATTGTACCATGATTACATTGGTATCGTACACAAACTCCAACATCTGGACTCAGAGCCACCGTGACTTAGAAATGACAAGTCCTTCAAATGGAACAACACAGAATATAATACATTTATTACTATTAAAAAACGAAAGAAAAACTTAATTGCATTGCAATATGAAAGTCCCTGTAATTCCATAATTGCAGTTATACTGTACATTTAGACCCTAAACTGCATCATTTATTATTTGATAAGCATCATCTTATGTGTTCATTAGACTTAATTGACCAACACTTGGTAATAGAAATCCTGTATTTCTGAGATGAAGTCACAGAGCTGGATTAATGCATGTTTTATATTTAAAGTAGGACTTTTCTGTCCAATTGAAAAAAATGGAAATGGATTACATTACATAAACATTGCATCAAGAGATATAAATAAATTGTTGTCACCGATCACTCAAACACAAAACAAAAAAATATTGTTAATTTAGAAAAGGGAAAAAGGATCTTCAAAAAATTACAGAAACAAGATAGGTAGCTTAAATTTAAGGTTTGAGACATAGTGTTGACATTATTTCCTCAAGATATAACCCCCCTGTTTTGACTCTCCTGAATATTACAGCTTTTAGACAATGAGTTAAAATAGGAATTTGTATCTTGAGTAAATAATGTCAACAATATGTCTCACACATAAAGCTTGTTTGTTTACTTTTTTTGTGATTGCATTTTCACTTTAAGCTATCTATCTTATTTCTGTAATTTTTTTGAAGATCCCTATTCCCTCTTTTTAAATTAACAATTTTAAGGATTTTATTTCTTTATACCTCATGGACATAAATCTGTATAATAGCAATACTGTTCTATTTAAAAGAACTTAGTTTAATGAAATATGTAGTTGGTGTATAATGTGGTCTTGGGAAAACTGATAACTTTGGATTGGCTTCATGCAGATTGGATGGCTATTGCTCCTGATGTCATTGCCATAATGTTATCATTGATAGTTGTACTGCATGTATGATCACAACAACTCATGGTGATCAACATATTGCATGTAATGTATATACTTGTAAAATATATATAGCTACTATATTTATACCCTGTAGTTATATAGGGAGTGTAAATATTGGATTGGAGGAATTTCTGAACTATACTGTAATGGTACATGAACATGAATTGCATGTTAGCCAGTATTTATATACACACATGCAGGCTTTATAGTTTTTTAAGATGTAAAGCTGTATATGTAGATAGCCATATGATTTTTTTAAAGTTTTATAGATACGTGCATATATATTCAATGTAAGTATAAGACAGTGTGCCATAATATAATAGGATGTGTATACAAATAAGCATTTATAATATTTCTTATACCTGTTATATTTCTCCCTTTCTCTTCCTCCTGCTCCACCTCTCTGTAATTAAGATAGTAATTAAGGCTGGTCACAGTTTTGCTGCAGTTGGCCAGATTTCCTCTTAGAGTGACATTCTGCACACTCTACTAGGTCAGAAACATGTTAATTTAAATATACTTTTGATCTATTACAGGAATACTTAGTCCATAGACAGGAAAACTGTGTTGTGGTGGAAGCTGTTATACAGAACTTACCTGCTGCTATTGCTGGAATCAAAAAGGTAAAAGTATATATATATATATTTATGTGTGTGTGCAGATGTAATTTGTATTAAGGGATGGCTATTCTGTGCTTTCGGTTTCTGAACAAACAGTGACCGCTTTTATGAAAAATTTAGGTTAGAAATTCAAAACTTAGTATTATAAGGTAGTCTTTTGATATAATGAAGTCTTTCTTTTGCTTGCTTCCAAGTATAGCTTATAACATTTTCAATAATTTTTTAATACACATAATACTACAAAATATCTAGGATAGTATTTGACAACCTAAGCTGATTATCAGGTCATGTGTACAGTGCTCTAGAGCTACAAGACCCCATTTACCAGACAAAAAACAAAGATATTAAAAATGTGCTCTGCGTGTTACATATTAAATGTGGAATAACTCTACTTAAAATTTCATAAAATGAAGTATACAAAATCTAATTAAAATTTTCTCCTAATAAACATAGCATTAAATCTTGTAAATCACTTCTGTTATAATAATTTTCTTTTAAGATGGTTATTAAGACCACACTTGTTGGAAGTGCAATAAGGTAATGTAAAATGTGCTGATTAGGAAAAAAATATACTGCATCTAACTTTATTGAACTGTTGGTATGAAGCATAGCACTATTTTCGTAGATCTAGCAGTTTATATTTTATCATCTGTAATATCTATGTTATAAATTTACAGCTGTTTATCTCCTCTTCACAATTTCTGAAATTAAGTGTGCTCTTTTTTTTTGTTCTTTCTATTAAACTTGATTCAAGCATGGTATTTGAACTAAGTGCTCAAGACTTAATATGTTATCAGACCTTCTGCAAGCACTGACTGGGCAGTCTATCTCAGCCCACTTCTCACAGGAAAAGGCTTACAATTATATGCAAGCATGACGTCAGAAGTGGCCTTCCTGAAAAGCTATGAACTTACTGAAGAAGCTATTTGTCAGAAGTTCAGAGAAGTAAAACCTGACACTAAAGAAACTATATTTCAGTTTGTCACATGTCTACAACGATTCTTCACAAGATGGACTGACATGACCAAGTGTGAAAATAGCTTTGAGGGACTGACAGATCTAATATGTGAACAGTTCATTATCATGTGCTCAACTGACATGTCACTTTTCCTAAAAGAGAGAGTGCCAAAAGATGTGGATGAGATGATCAAGTTGTCAGAACAATATATGGAAGCCCTTGGAGAGAATGTAACTGGCAAGTCCAAGAATAACCAGTTAAAAGTTGAAACCAATGGTGGCTGACCAGAAGCAGGAGTCCACCAAAGGTGACAGGAGATTAACAGACAAATGGGAGAAGAGATGCTATATTTGTAGTAAAATAGGGCATATTGCAAATGAGTGCAAATCTGGCACCAACAAAGAACAGCAGATATCTCAACATAAAGCAATTGGAGCTACCTACAAATATGGGGCCGAGAATAAACAAGAAAAGAGTGACTTTCACCAGGGATGCTACTGCCAGAAGAAAGAGAATAAAAACGACATATCAGATTCACTACAAGAAGGAAGTGCTATTTCCATAATTAATCAGTGCATGACTGATGGTTAGCTCTAGTTAACAAATGAATCAACAGTGCCAATAGTGTTTGGAGCATGTGACAGACATTGAGAGTTGACAACAAATCACAACATGCTAGTAGGTGAAGGCTATGTTGAGAACAAGAAAGTGAAGGTACTACGAGATACTTGATGCAGCAGTGAGAACCAGTCTAGTAACTGATGATCAAATAATGGGTAAGGTATGCCTCCGTGTGCTAATTGATGGGACAGTGAGAAAGTTTCACATAGCAAGAATCAAGGTGGACACTACATGCTATGTGAAAGACCTTGAGGCCATGTGTATGAAGGCACCCATCTATGATTTGGTAATTGGAATTATACCAGAGACTAGACGTTTGGAGGAACCCGACAGAAAGAAGATGGATGAAGCACCTGCAGTCACCACTAGAGCTCAAGAAAAGAAGAGCAAGCAAGACATTGAGTCCCCATCCATGTATGAAAAGGCAACATCCTGAATGTATGTCTGCAGGAACTGAAGGAAACCCAGAAGAAAGACCCTTCAGTGCAGAATCTTTCAGACAATGCTTGGGAGAAAGTAAAGCACAAGACAAAAGAGAGAAGGATTTACAGAATAGAGGATTGGAAAGGAGAGATGTACTGGATCTATCAAGGTAGTTATACTGGGGAAGTCAAACAGATCATAGTACCAGCAGAATTCTGGACTCAAGTGATGAAGCTGTCCCACAAATTGATTGTAGGAGGACGCCTAGGAGCAAAGAAGACAGCAGAAAGAATCTCCATCAACTTCCATTGTCTGGAGGTCATCAGAGAGGTGAGCATGTGACATCTACCAAAGGATAATATATAGATGGAAAGTAGCCAAGGCGCTGCTGGGTGAAATGCCTCTCATAGAAGAGCCATTCAGCAGAGTAACTGTGGACTTGATTGGACCACTAACACCTGTTTCTCTTAACGGCAACCGGTATGTTCTGACAGTAGTTGACTATGTGACATGTTATCCAAAAGCCATAACACTGCCATAAATAGAGATGGAGAGAGAAGTAGAAGCTCTCCTGGAAGTGTTCTGCAGAGTAGGCTTTCCAAAAGAAGTTTTAAGTGACATATGGACCAAGTTTATCTCAGAACTGATGCAAGTGGTGTGCAAACTCATAGGTACTAGGCAGCTCTTTACCACCTCATACAACCCTAGACATAAGAGACTTTCCGAAAGAGTTAACCCTTTTTTCGACGGGTCACAGGTGAAAGGCTATGTCATCTCGTTTGTTGACTCACATTCAAAATTTTATTGAACTACTATTTCATGAACTTATGTTGGTATCAAACTGTAGATTATAATTGAAATCTAAAAGTAAATATTAAAAACAGATAAACATCGATTTTTGTGTGTCATGTGGTATTTTGAATGCAGCACTGGTTCAAATTAGATGTTTGTGAAGTCAAAATACTAAGTCTGTAGTTTCATACTTAGTGGTTTTCTCAGCCTTTCTGACATTCCTTCTTCCATTTCTTTCTTTTGAATGAAGATTTCAATAAGGTAGGTTGTGTCTTTAGTCTGCTTGAAATTTCATATATTTTTTTTAGACCCAAATAACGCTTAGTTACTAAGCTTGATAAATTATTGTAGAATTCTATGGTATTGATGTAGTAATTTATGATTTTTTAGTTATTCAAATATATATATAAGTCAGAAGCACTTCTGTGACAAGAAGGCCAAGGGTTGACATTTCAAAGTTGGACAAGAAGGTCTTAGTTCTGCTACACACAGACAACAATAAACTTACCCTGCAGTGGAAAGAACCTTTTGAAGTGCAAAACATTATCAACAGAAGGTACTATAAGGTGAAAGTGGAAGAGAAGACAAAGATGTACCATGCTAATCTGTTGAATAGGTACTCTGAGAGGGAAGAAGACCTTACAGATGCAGCTACTGAGGTACATAAAGGCATGGCAGGTATGGCTGTCACAAGTGCAGAACCAGAAGATGGTGAGTTTGTTATAGAAGAGGAAGACCTACTAGACTTAATACCACCAGATGGAGATGAGACATACAAAGCCATCAACATCAGTGAAGAACTGACTGGCAAGGAGAAGAAAGAACTATGTGACCTACTGTGCCAGTACGCAGATGTCTTCACAAATAGACCAGGCAAGACAGACCTTCTGCAACACAAGATTGAGACCACAACCAGGGATCCTGTCAAAGTGAAACCCTACTAGATGCCCTATGAGAAGAGAGATAAACAATGGAACTGCAAATGTTCGTGCAGACTATATGAGGAGACTTAGTATATGAACTGACAAGTAGTTTTTGTATATAATGTTGTAAATAATTTTCTTGAAGTGGCGCTTATTGTTGGATATACAATACTGTTTAGTTTAAGAGTTATTATTTAGTGTTTTAACATTTAATGATCAGTTAGTTTTCATAACAACTGTGAAGAGTTAATTTTAAAAGCATAATTATGGCAAATTTCATTATGTAATTGTATGAGTTATATGGTGGGAATACAGTTTGATTGTTGTAATATTGTTGACATCATTTTACTCATAGCTACTGAGTTTTGTTTTCTCATTATTTGAATATTGTTTTCATTATAGGGCTAGGTATTTCTAGATTTTTCTGTCGTGTGTTATAAATACATGCAGATACAGAGTGCAAAAAAGAACGTAAAAGGCAGTTAGTGAAAGTAAGACAAAGTTATTGAGAGATATAGATCTAGACTGTGTTTGTAAGTTTAGTCATAAAGAGTGTATAGTGGCAACATTCAAGGTGCTATAATCCCAGATTGTATTGTAATAAAGAGAGTTGAGAAGAAGAATTGAACCACCCTGTGTGGACTTTGAAGAAAAGAGACAATTATTTAAAGTTCTGGATTGAACTGTGGTAAACAATAGTGTAAAAAAATTTTTTTGTACGTACATTTGACTTGTTTTGAATATATATATTATTGTAATACAAGTGAATTGTTTGTTGTCTATTTATTATTGAAATTTATTGCCAATAAGTTGCAGACACCTACTGTAAAGAATTCATCCCCATAAAACTGACATTAATTTATCATACATTGTAACATAAAAATTGCAGCTCAAGATATCTTAACAATCTAGCTTCGGTTGATCTAAGTATTGAAATTACTACACTACAGATATACCCAGGGAGCCAAACTCACAATTTTTCACGAAAATAGATACTGGCTGCTGTAACAGGTTGTAGGGTATAAATGTAATCTTTGGTTATCCAGGAAAAATATATATTTGCACAATCTTACTAACAAGCTATTGTAAGTTGGATATTGGACTTAGAATGAGTGACCCTACAACACATGAAAATGTTAAGTAAAATGTTGTTAATGTTTTATCATCACTTGTTCATTTTCATTTCTGTAATAAAACAAAGCAAATTTTAATTATGTTATTAGATTTTTGCAATATGACTTTATAAAACCTTCTGATTGCAAGAAACACTACTTTTATTGAGTTTC